TTTATTTCTATTGTTGCATGTATCAATATTCCAAAGTATAAGTTTGGAATTTGTTTATCCACTCACTGCTTAATGAATGTTTGGGTTTTTCTAGTTTGCAGTTATGACAAATAATATTGCTACAGATATTTGTATGGTTTTTAATGTAGATATGTCTTCATTTCACTTGAGTAAATAGCAAGGTGAGAGGGATTATTTGATTATATAATAAGTGGTTATTCAAGACTCTAAGATCCTGATGTATTGTTTTCCAAAGTGTTTGTATTTTCTTTTATTCCTACCAGCAATCTATAAGACTTCCAGTTGCTCTAGCTCTTGCCAACATTTGATATTATCATCTTTTAAGCTTTGTTATTTTAGTGGGTATATGGTGATATCATATTGTGTTTTCAGTTTGTATTTCCCTGCTGATTGTAATGTTAACCATTTTTATGTGCTTATTGGCTGTCTGTGTGTCTCTTTTTGTGTATGTCTTTTCAAATATTTTCAATTGGTTGTTTGCCTTACTATTGAGTTGTAATAGATTTTAAAATATATTCTAGATACAAGTTCATTGTCAGATATATTTTTGAGAAATATTTTCCCAGATTGTAGTAAACCTAGCTAAGTCCAACTAAAAGCCCTGGACATTACTTATAAAACAAACATAAGAAGACTCTGAAAAGTGGAGAGAAGAAAGTGGAGACTTGGGATCTTGAGACCCCAAGAAGCAATGCAGTGGTGAGTTTACTAGGTTATTTTGCTTATTAAACCCCAGACTTGGAGCTGAAGAAGCAGGCAACCTGGCAATGCCAACAGGAAAAGACAAAAAAAAATCCCAAAAAACAACCAGAAATCTCCAACAACGTCCTAACCTCCCTGCTCTACCCCCCACACCATGTCAGTGACCACACTTAAACTTTTACCCCATCTGGCAGCAATGAGGCACCCATTGCCCTCCCTGCTGTGGTGTTATCAGAAAAGGTCTAGTGGAGAATCAACACTGCCATTGTCACTACTTCCCAGCAGTACCGAGGACACCCTCTCTCCTGTAGTATCAATGGAAGCCATGCCGGGCACAAAAACAAGGCACTTCTGCCCTCCCAGCCAGGCAGGTGCCAGTAGAGGTAGAATGGGAAGCTGGAACTCCCACTACTTTGCAGCAGTAATGAGAACCCCCACCTCAGATATGAACGGAGGCTAAGGTGGGAAACCTGGACTTCTACTTTCACTGGTAGCAACGAGGCGGCATCCCAACTTCCCTTGCCAGAGTGCTGACCGAAGTTAGCTAAAACAGAAGGTTTAAATGACAGCCAAAGTCTTATACTATAATACCCAAAATGTCCATGTTCTAAACAAAATTCATTCATCATATGAAGAACAAGGAAGATCTCAAACCAAATTTTAAGACAATAGATGCCAAATATTAAGATAACAGTGATAGAGATGTTAGAATTATGACAAAGATTTTAAAGCAGCCATTATAAAAATGCTTCAACAAGCAATCACAAACACATTTGAAAGAAATGAAAAAAGTAGAAAACCTCAACAAAGAAATAGAAAATATAAAAAAGAACAAAATAAAAAAATTATAACTGAAAAATATTGCCATTAAAATAAAACCCCAATAGATGGGGTCAACAGTAGAATGGAAGGTTCAGAAGAATCAGTGAACTGGAAGATAAGAACAATAGATATTACCCAATCTGCACAACAAAAAGAGACTATAGACTGAAAAGATAAATAGAGCTGCAGGGACATGGGGGTATTACAACAAAAGGTCTAACATCTATGCCATCAGTTATGAAAGTAGAAGAATAAGAAGAATAAGAATAAGAAGGGTATAAAGTTATTTTAAAAAATAATGGCTGAAAACTTTCCAAATGTGGTAAAATAAATTAATTAATCTGCAGACCCAAGAAGCTGACTGAACTCCAAACAGGACAAATCAAAGGAATCCAGACCAAGACACATCATAGTCCAACTTCTAAAAACTAAAGACAAAGAAAAAACAATCTTGAAAGCAGTAAAATAGAAATGAATCTTACGGATACAGAAAAAACAATTCAAATGATAGCAGATTTCTCACCAAGACCATGGAGGCCAGAAAGGTGCACATTTTTCAAGAAAAGACCAGAATTCTATATCCACTGAAAATATGCTTCAGGAATGAAAGGAAATTCAAGACCCTCTCAGCTAAAGGAAAACTAAGAGAATCTGTTGCCAGTAGATCTACCCTAAAAGAATGACTAAAGAAAGTTCTTCGACAGAGGCCAGGCGCCGTGGCTCACACCTGTAATCCTAGCACTCTGGGAGGCTGAGGCAGGCGGATTGCTCGAGGTCAGGAGTTCAAAACCAGCCTGAGCAAGAGCAAGACCCCATCTCTACTATAAATAGAAAGAAATTAATTGGCCAACTAATATATATAGGGAAAAAAATTAGCTGGGCATGGTGGCGCATGCCTGTAGTCCCAGCTACTCGGGAGGCTGAGGCAGGAGGATCACTTGAACCCAGGAGTTGAGGTTGCTGTGAGCTAGGCTGACACCACAGGACCCAGGCGACAAAGAGGAAAGGAAAGGGAAGGGAAGGGAAGGGAAAGGAAAGGAAAGGAAAGGAAAGGAAAGGAAAGGAAAGGAAAGGAAAGGAAAGGAAAGGAAAGGAAAGGAAAGGAAAGGAAAGGAAAGGAAGAAAGAAAGAAAGAAAGTTCTTCAACAGAAACGATGTGATGAACAAAGGAATACTGGAACATCAGGAAGGAAGAAACAACACAGTGAACAAAAATACAAGTAAATGCAATAGCCTCTGACTCCTCTTGAGTTTTCTAAATTATGTTTGACAATTGAAGCAAAAATTACACCATTGCCTGATGGTTCTAGATGCACGTAAAGAAAATGTATGACGTTCCATACACGTAAAACAATGTATGTATGAAAACAATAATATTTTAAACAGAGTAAGGCAAAGAGACATGAGATAAGTAAGGTTTCTACACTTCACTGGGATTGGTAAAATGACAATACAAGTAGACTACAATAAGTTATGTATATACAATGTAATACCTGGGGTAAGAACTAAAAAAGCCATACAAACAATGAACCACTCAATTGAAAAATGGGCAAAGGACTTGGATAGACACTTCTCCAAAGAAGATATATGGGTGGCCAATAAGTACATCAAAATATGCTAGACATCAATAATCATTAGAGAAGTGCACATCAAAATCACAATGAGATATCTCTTCACACCCATTAGGGTAGCTATTAATAAAAAAAAACAAAACAAAACAAAAAAAAAAAACCAAAAACACCCAGAAAATAAGTGTTGATGAAGATGTGGTGAAATTGGAATCCTTGTGCACTGTCGATGGGACTGTAAAATGGTATGGCATCGGTGTAAAACAGTATGGCCATTTTTCTAAAAACAAAAAAACCAAAACACAAGAAGCCTATAGAATTACCATATTATCCAGCAATTCCACTTCAAGGTATATGCCCAAAAGAATTGAAAGCAGAGACTTAGACATATATTTGTATACCCCTTAGTTACAGCAGCACTATTCACAATTGCCAAAAGGTGGAAACAACCCAGTGTCTTATCAACAAATGAACAGGTAAACAAAATCTAGTACAGACATACAATGGATATTACTCAGTCTTAAAAAGGAAAGAAATCCTGACACATGCTACAACATGGATGAAACTTGAAGACATTATGCTAAATGAAATAAGCTAGTCACAAAATGACAGATACTCTATGATTTCACTTATATGAGGTACTAAATTAATCAAATTAATAGAGACTTCTATGGGATTTCTAGAAGCTGGAGAAGGAGGAGGTGAGGTTATTTTGGAATGGATACAGAGTTTCAAATCTATAAAACTTATAGGAAAAAAACCATAAGAAATCCTTTAGTATTTAGGGCTATGTAAATAGCCTAATCCCAAAAGCATGAGCCAAAGGAAAATTTGATAAATTTGACTATGTCAAAATTAAAAATGTTTGCTCTGTGACAGACTGATAAGAGGGTGAAAAGCTACGGACTGGGAGAAATATTTGCAAATAATGTATCTGACAAAGGACTAATAAAGATTTTCACAACTCAACAGCAAAAAGCCAAATAATCCAATTAGAAAATGGGCAAACGATAGGAAGCAATATCACCAGAAAGGATATATGGATGGCAAATTAGCACATGAAAAGATGTTCAATATCACTAACCATTAGGGAAATATAAATTAATTATATTATAGATATAAATTATGCAATGAGATATCACCATACCCCTCTCAGAATAGTTAAAATACAAAATAGTGACACCACCAAATGCTGGCAAGGATGTGGAGAAACTAGATTATTTGATACGTTGCCGATGGCATTGTAAAACGGTGCAACCACTTTGGAAAACGGTTTGACAGTTTCTTAAAAGACTAAGCACGCACCCCCACAGCTGCACCCCCGCACGTTTATCCCGAGGGAGCGACGAGGCCCCCTGCTCTCCAGTCTACAGGTGACTCCCGCGCCTTAGGAGGGATTAGAATCAGCACGGCCATCCCGCCCGAACACCCCAAGAGCCCTCGTGTCTCGCAGAGACTAGGCCGTCGCCCCACCTTCGGGCTCAGAGGCTGCTGCGCGGGGCCCCGCGGGTGGCTCTGCGGCGGGCAGTCAGGACCTGAACCCGGGTAGCACTAGCCAGTGCCTTATTACTCACATGGTCATTCGTTGTCGCCTCTCGGCAGGCGGGCGAACAGGGCCGAGAGGCTACGCGGGTCGCGGGGTCCCCGCACCTGGGAAGGCGCCGCCGGGCTGAGCCCGAGGCCACGGCTGTCCTCGGCGGGCCGGTCCGCTCCCCTGGTCCTTGGGGCCAACTTTTTCCAACTTTCCCGGGCCTCTCCGCCCAGTCCCCGGGGCGCAGGCACCACCCTTGTCCTCCGGGAGGAGCAGGAGGGGCGGGACCCCGAGGGCAGTCGCCTCCCCGGACCCTCCCCCAGGCTTTAAGCGCGCGGCCGGGCGCGCGGCGCGGTGGCCGGCGCGGCGGGGCGATCGCGCGGATGGCGGCGCTGGCGGCGGCGGCCGGGAAGGTGTGGAGCGCGCGGCGGCGGCTGGTGCTGCTGCTCACGCCGCTCGCGCTGCTGCCCGCGGTCTTCTTCCTCCCGCCCAAGGTAACGCCTCCTGCCCGCGCCCCGGCCCGCCGCGGGCCCTCTCCTCCCAGCCCGCGCAGGCTCCCCGACCCTCCTCTCCTTCTCCCCGCACCTGCCCCGGCCGCCGCGAACCGCTTGAACCCTCTCCCCCTCCCCGTGGCCCCTCGGAGCCCGAGGCTCACCGGCCTCCTGGGTCTTCTCGCCCGAGCGGGAATGATTTCTCTTCTGAGCTCTAGCTAGGTGCTTGGTGCTGTGGTGCACGTTTCGCTGGACAGTCACCATGAACACATGATGCGTGCTAACCTGTGTGACCTGGGGCAAGTCCCTTAACCTCTCTGAACTTCATTTACTCATATGTTAAAATGGGGGCAGCGGTAGTGCCAACCCAAGGGTACTGGCGAATATAAATGAGGCATTATACGTAAATCTCCTGGAACTAAGCCTGGTACACAGTAAGTGCCGAATAAGCACTGGCTGGTCTTTTTCTGCACCAGGCCCTTCCGTGATGGGGGCAGCCAAGATTCCGTGAGTGCGTGGCTTTTTGCCTTTTGTGCGTCACCCACCTGATTCCATCCTTCCAACGCCCCTCAGAGGGGGATTATTTGCCCCATCTTCCATAGGAGAAAACCGATGCTCAGAGAGAGGAAGCGATTTGCTCAGAGTCACACAGCAAGTGACTGAGAGAATCCAACCCTGGTCTTTTCAGAATCCAGAGCCCAAGCTGTTTTCAGACTCTCGAAGAAAGTGATCCCTATGAGGTCAAAGGCTGCAGGTTGATGAGGACACCTGTGGGGGCTGGAGAGAGATGGCACTACAGTTCCCTGTGGGTCCCTCACCTGTGCCCGGACCACCCGGGGCACCGTGAGCAAGCACTAGGCTTGTGAGACAAGGCTACTGCCAGGAAGTTGCTTCCCCATCCCTCACCGAGATAGTCAACGTTCACTTAAGTAAAAGCGAAAAGAAGGTGTAATTTAGTGGTGCGTCACTTGGCACCCATCGGCTGAGAGCAGGGGCAGCTGCCTGGAGGAAGGAGCCCTCCTGGGCCCAGGGAGTAGGAAGGTGGCATCAGATGGTTCCGAGGAGACTCAGAGCTGGTACACAGCAAGTTCTTTCGTGAGGAATTTTCTAAGCGATCAGGCTTTCTTGACATGGAAGGGAACAAACAATAAATGATGGAATAAGAGGTAGGTCACCTTTTCAAACACCAGCCCATCCTGGGCCACTTGCTGACCTGCAGACCTTGGACCAACCTCCTTTCTTCTTTGGGTCTCAACTTTCTTCTCTGTAAAATGGAGCGATCACTGTGCTAGCTTCTGGGATTGGCGAGAGGGGTTGCGCAAGGCTTTGGGAACCGCGGTTGATGGAAGGATGGGTGGATCAGCCTTGACCGATTGTTGTCTCGGAGGGGGCCCAGGCAGAGCTCCAGGGAAGAAGGAATGGAGACACAGGGTCTCTATCCGCAGCAGGGGTTCTGATGGATTCTCGCTGCTCTGCCACCTAGCGAGGGCGTGAACCCCAAGTGTTCTAGGGCCTGGAGCGCATCCTATTTGAGGGGATCTCGCCAAGAAAAAGATACAGATTTACAAATATAAACTCCGGTACAGAACTTGGGAGAGGCTCTGAAGTTTAAGTTTCATCAGCTTCTTGGGGACTTCTTGTCCATATGACCCCAATGTGCGCGACCGGGTGGACGGAAGGGAGAGATGACGGCAAGTGCCCCTGTGACGCCCCCCTGCGATGGTGCCAGGCCCGATGAGGAAGGTGCTCTGTCGCCTGCTTAGCTCTTTCCCTGGGCGAGGCACCGTGCTGAGGGCTTGTCAGGAGTTGCCCGTATAATGTCCGCAAAGACCAGGGAGGCAGCTGCTGTTTGCATCCCTATTGGAAGGGGGGAGGGATGGAAACTCAGCAAGGTTAGGTGACTTGCCCAAGGTCACACAGCAGGTACAGAGCCAGAATCGAGTCTATACTGCTAACGGCTGTGCCCAGCATGCTCTCCTTAGTTATCATTCTGTAAAAGCTGCCTTGTGGGGACCCTTTGCGTGGCTCTAGATGTCACTGCCTTTTTAAGTGGCTGATAAACCAGGGCCTCCTCCAGGAGGCAGATCTGGCTGCTTGGAGCTATTGGCATGCCCGAAGCCCCTTGCCCGTATGGCAATAGTCATATAATTATCAGTATCATATTCTCTGATCTTAAGAACTGACATGTTTCTCAACCTCATGTACAATATGAATAAAATGCATCCTTAGAAAACATTGCAAGTTTTGTTGATCTGTGACATACCTTTATTTTTTATTTTTTTGAGACAGAGTCTCACTCTGTTGCCTGGACTAAAGTGCCGTGGCATCAGCCTAGCCTACAGCAACCTCAAACTCCTGGGCTCAAGCGATCCTCCTGCCTCAGCCTCCCGAGTAGTTGGGACTACAGGCATGCGCCACCATGCCCGGCTCATTTTTTCTATATATTTTTTTAGTTCACCAATTAATTTCTTTCTATTTATAGTAGAGATGGGGTCTCGCTCTTGCTCAGGCTGGTTTCGAACTCCTGACCTCGAGCGATCCTCCAGCCTCAGCCTCCCAGAACGCTAGGATTACAGGCGTGAGCCACCGCGCCAGGCCTGATCTGTGACATACATTTAAAGCAAACACAGTGGGTTTGCTATGCACACAGAGCTTCAGGAGAATTCTTGTAATCTTAACCAGTCACTCGCTGTGACAGCCTCCCCAAGCAAAGGCTGGTGGTGTAACCTAGAAACATGCTCGCTATGCAAATGTGGCTTCAAGACAGATGTCCTCGGTGTCCACCCCCAGCCCCAACATCAGATTGCCACTTCTGAGCCTCTTCCACGTGAAAATTCTGGAGCTACCAATGCAGGTTGCATCGTACCTATCTATGGGTTCCTAAAAACTTTTGCGTAGTTGCAGATATATCAGATCGAGAAAGAAGTTGGAGATGTTTGGTCATTTGCCATTTGCTGGGTGGTTGAGTGAGGGACAGCCCCTTGTTGGGGCCCGGTTTTCCAGCCCGATGACAGCCGCAGGCCGCTGCTGCTCTGATGTCCTGGGAGCCAGTGTGGCTGAGAGGGTTGGTCCTCCCGCTTCTGGTGACTGGTGAGCCATCTGCGGGGAGGCTGCAGTCAATCCACGGAGCGGATCCGGGAGGAATAATTCTTACATTATGGCCCCTGGCTCAGGAACGCTGTCAGCAGGGCTGAAAAGGAGTGGGCTGCCGCTCTGGAATGCGGTGGCTGCCATCCCCAGTGCCACCGGGGTTCCTGGCCCTTGCTGTGCAGAGTGCCCGAGGCTCAGGAAGGCAGGGTGCTGTCCAAGGGACCACCTCAAAGTTTTCCAAGAATGGCCATCTCAAAGGCTAGAGATATGGCCGGGTGGCCTTAGACAGCTAGTGGGCACAGATGGGGCTGTGATGACGGGCTTTGCAAAGAAGCACCCGCCCCATATGTTTGCAGAGAAGTCTTGCCCCCTTTCCCATCTTGTACCCACCAGAGAAAACAGAGCAGGCCTGACAATCTGGCCAAGATGAGTTCTTAACAGTGGGTGCTCGACTCTAACGTGGCTTTCAGGAGGAAGAGTCTGGGGATATTCTAGGCAGGGCTGCTGCAGAGGGTTGTGCAGGTTGTGCACTGCACAAGGGGTCTCGAGGAGGCAAGAACCAACCTGAACTCCACATGCTGAGCTGTGCACCCTGTGCAGGGCTGGATCCACTTGAGGAACGGCCTCCTTTTCTAAGTTGTGCAAAGGTGTCACATGGGCTAGCTGCAGACTCGTTCTGGGGTGGTAATCTTTTAAGGGGATGGTAGGACACCTTTAAGGTCAAAGGCCCACTTTCTTGCCTCTGCCTAATCACGAGCAGGTGCGTGACCAGGAAAATGGTCCTTTCGTTCCCAGTGTGGAGGCTTTAACATCAGAACTGGATTCTCACTCCACATACTTGCTCTGTGACTTTGGGCGAGTCATTTTATTTCTCTGGCCAAGTCATTTACTACTTACCTCAGTTTCTTCACTTAGGATATTGCCATAATATCGTATTCCTTCCTGGTTGCATTTGGGCTCAATGAAATAACACATTATGCCTGCACTATAAATCCATGCTTTTTAATTTAATGCCCAAGGTATATTTTAGCTCTCCCATTTTGCAGATGAGAAAACTGAGGCTCAGAGAAGTTAAATGATGAAAAGAGTATGGGGCTTAGAACTGGGCACACCTAGGTTTGGGTCTTGGCTTTGAAACCATGGAACAGGGGAGCCTGGGTTGCAGACTTTGAATTTATGAGCCTCAGTTTCCTCATTTGTGAAGTGGGGAGGACTCACACCCTCCCACAAAGGGCTGTTATGAAAATTAAGAGAGGATACAAAAGTCCGGCACAGCGTCCAGTACATAGTGGGTGTTTATAATAACTGCAATAGCCACACATCTCTCCCACATTTGCAGATGCTTTTTATATGCTATGTACATCGTAGCTAATCTATGCTTCACACTGGCCTTAAGAAGTACCAACAACGATCGTCCCCATTTTTTACAGATGTGGCAAGTGAGGCACAGAGAAGTTAAGTAATGTTCCCGAGGTCACACAGCTACTAAATATTACTTTGATCACTCCTCCCCCTCTCTTGGTCCTGGGTTTTGGAAGACAGGGTAGGCCAACTTTTGGAGAGTCTTCCCCTAATAAGAGTCTCTCAGAAAACACCTGTGAGTCAGCCTCCACGGATCGAGCACTTTCTCTGGCTAGACACTGCCCAGTGCTTTCAACTTGAGTCGTCTCGTTGAACCTCAGAGAGCTCAGACATGGAATTTGCCCACGTGTACCCCAAGCTGGAGTGGCATCTGGTTTGATTCTGCACGTCACCCACTCAATTTTTGCCAGCTCTGCTCACCCACTCAGTATTATTTACTTAATTATATTCCTATTATTTACCTAAGTTTTTTACATTAATGCCTTACAGCCCCCCCTCCCTTTGTAAAAAACTTAAATACAATGACTGAAAAGGAGATTTTATGTTGGTAC